GAAGGTCTCCCTTATGCCATGGCAGTTTCTCATCTCCCCCTCCAAGGGAGACTCCCACGTGTTTCTTATTCCCGTGTTTCAAAACGTCCCCCCACTTCTGGTATCCCATCTTCTACACCCACCTCTGTGGTTACCTCTCCCATAGTCACTCCTGTATCTAATCCTTTTGCTGTCCTCGGCTCAGACGTCCCTACTTCAATGCCTCAGTCTGATCTCGCTTCTTCGTGTTCTCTCTCACAAGCCTCAGTATCGACGAGACCTCGTACGACACCTCCTCCCAATCGTCCCTCTACTTCTCAAAAGTCAAAAAAAGGTCCGTTAACACCTCCTACCCATCTTCCACCTCCTCATTTTACCCTCCCTGTCTCTGTCCCTGGTTCTCCCCCTCTCACTGGCTCAGTTACAAGTGTAGAGGTTCACCCTCCTCCTCGTACTGTACCTTCCTCCCCTGTTCCCTCCCAAGTTTTCTTCCTCTTCTGCCACCTCCCAGGTTCCTGCCTCTTCTGTCCCCTGCCATGCTTCTCCAGTTCCCTCCACCCTTTCGCCCCCCCTACCTTGGTACAGTCCAATACAGTTCCAATCTTTACTCATCCTCCCCCTACCATTTCCAATATTGTCTCCCATACGACGTCTCTGAATTCCGAAACACTTGAAGCAATCTCTGAATATATTGCAGAAAACCAAACCATCAATGGACACTGATCCACCTTCCGCTCTTTCTCTCTCCTCTGCTCCATCGCGCAACCCCTTTCTTCACAGCGCACCGTTCCTTCGTTGCTTGAACGTTTTCCACTGTCTCCGCATGTGGACTTTTCTAACCCCTCTAGTCCGTAGGAACCCTTACCTGCGGATTTCAAGTATCTTTATCATTGCCAATCATGGCCTATTTACAGTGGAATATACGCGGCCTCAGGGTAATCGGGGTGAGCTTCAGATGTTACTCTCCCAGTTTGCCCCTGTTGGTGTTTGCTTACAGGAACCAAAATTACACTCTGCTGTTATTTCTCCCATCTCAGGCTATAATTTATTGTATTCTTCAGATCCTTTTCCTGATGGGACCTTTAATGAAAGTGCCCTTCTTCTACGCACTGATATTCCGTACCATCAGCTATTTGTTCATACTTCGCTGCATTACACAGCAGCCCGTATCCACTTACATAGGTGGTATACGCTCTGTTTTTTATATCTCTCTCCTCGGGCATTATCTATTCCGGATATTGCCTTTCTTGTTTCGTCATTACCACCACCGATTTTGTTACTTGGTGATTTTAATGCCCACCATTTCCTCTGGGGGGGTCTCACTGTGATTCCCGTGGAATTCAGTTAGAGGCTTTTCTTGCCACCCACCCCCTCCATGTTTTAAATACATTTACTCACACCCATTTTGATCCTCGGACTCATACTCTCTCTTGCATCGATCTCTCAGTCTGCTCTTCCTCCGCCGCATTAGACTTCACTTGGTCTGTTCTCCCGGACTTACTGACAGTGATCATTTCCAATCATTCTTACTTCCTCTTCATATTCGCCACCTCTTCGCATCCCACGCTGGCAATTTAATCGGGCAAATTGGAACCTTTACTCACACCTAACTGTTTTTAAAGAGGTTCCTTCTTCGTCCTCCATCGATGAGCTTTTACACCTCTTCTCGTCCTCCGTTTTCACCACAGCTTCTCATTCTATACCCCAAACTTCGGCAGGCATTCTCAGAAATGCGTGCCTTGGTGGTCCCCCTGCTTGTGCTCGTGCAGTACGTTTGAAACGCGCTGCATGGGCAGGTACCGGTACAATAGAACCACAGAGAGACTCCTTTATTTTAACAGAAGCGTTGATCGCTCGCCGTGTCATCCGTGACGCTAAACGCACTTGCTGGCGAGATTATGTCTCCACCATCACCTCTGCTTCCTCTATGAGTGCAGTCTGGAAAAAATACGAAAACTGAGTGGTAAATATTCTCCTGACCCGGCTCCTGTTCTGCGGGTTGCCGGTGTTGATATAGCAAACCCACTAGATGTTGCCAATGAAATTGGCAATCATCTGGTCCGTATTTCTCAGGGACTCCATCTATGCCCCTCATTTCTTTCCTCAAAGTCTGCCAGAGAGTTAGCACCCTTGGACTTTTCTTCTCTCAGAGAAGAACAGTATAATGTGCCTTTTACACTTCAAGAACTGGAGGCAACACTCTCAGCTTGTCCATCATCGGCAGCTGGGCCCGACGACATTCATATTCGTATGCTAAAACATTTACATCAGTCACCCTTGCAGTCCTATTACGCCTTTACAATCTTATTTGGTCACAAGGAGTTCTTCCACAGCTGTGGAAATCCGCCATTGTTCTCCCTTTCCGCAAACCAGGCACTACGGACATGAAACCTCCCACTATCGTCCCATTGCTCTTACCAGTGCAGTTTGCAAAGTAATGGAACGCCTAGTAAATAGACGTTTAGTGTGGTATTTAGAGACACACAACAGTCTCTCCACTCGTCCATATGGCTTTTCCCTAAGGGACGTTCTACCATAGACCCCTTACTAAACGCTTGGATACGTATGTTCGTAATGCCTTTGCGAATAACCACTCAGTTATTGCCATATTTTTTGACCTTGAGAAGGCATATGACACAACTTGGAGGTATAATATTTTTGCCCAAGCCCACTCCTTAGGCCTTCGAGGCAATCTACCATCCTTCCTTAAGAACTTTTTAACTGACAGGCATTTCCATGTTCAGGTTAATAATGTGCTCTCCCCGGACTTTATCCAAGCTGAAGGTGTCCCCCAGGTATGTGTTCTGAGCACAACACTTTTTCTCCTTGCTATTAATGATTTGGCCTCTAGTCTTCCATCAAATATTTGGTCATCACTCTATGTTGATGACTTCGCTATTGCCTGTGCAGGCGCTGACTGTCACCTCATTACAGTTTCTCTCCAACATGCAGTCGACCGTGTTTCCAATTGGGCCACCACACGTGGGTTTAAATTTTCCAGCACTAAAACCCACCAAATTACTTTCACTAGACGCTCTGTCATCTCTGATCATCCTTTGTACCTCTATGGCTCCCGTATCCCTGAACGTGATACAGTCAAGTTTCTGGGCCTCCTCTTTGATCGTAGGTTATCCTGGAAACCTCACATTACCTCTCTGAAGGCAACTTGTCACAGCCGGCTGAACCTTCTTAAAACCCTTGCTCATCTTTCATGGGGAGCTGATCGTCGAACCCTCCTTCGCCTACATTCCACCCTTATTTCATCGAAACTTGATTATGGTGACCAGATCTATTCAGCGGCATCTCCTGCTACTCTCTCTAGCCTTAACCCCATTCATCACCAAGGATTACGTTTATGCCTTGGTGCTTTTCGCTCTTCCCCTGTCGAGAGCCTCTATGCAGAAGCGAATGTTCCATCCTTATCCGATCGCCGTGATGCCCATTGCCTGCGCTACTATGTACGCTCTCATGATCTCCGCAATCCTTCCATTTATAGAATGGTCACTGATATTAGTAGACATTCTTTATTTGTTCGCCGCCCCTGTTTACTCCGTCCCTTCTCTCTTCGCCTTCATTCGCTCTTGTCTTCTCTTCAACTACCACCTTTCTATGTACATGTAGCATCTCACTTTTCCCTACCCCCCTGGGAAGTTCCAGCTGTTCGAGTCTGTTCTTTCTCCCTCCCTTGCTCGAAAGCCCAACTGTCTACGGTCGCTTCCCGCTCTCTTTTTCTTGACCACTTTCACTCTCATTCTCATGCCATTGCTGTGTACACAGATGGCTCTAAGTCTTCTGACGGTGTAGGATTCGCGGCCGTGTTTCCGGACAGCGTCGTACAAGGGCATTTACTATCTTCGGCTAGTATTTTTACTGCTGAATTATATGCCATCCTTACAGCATTTATCCATATTGCATCTATGCCTGTGTCATCATTTGTGGTTGTCTCAGACTCCCTTAGTGCTTTACAGGCTATACGAAAATTTGATACACCTCACCCCTTAGTCCTCCGTATCCAACTTTGGCTACGCCGCATCTTTACCAAGCATAAAGATATTGTTTTTTGTTGGGTCCCTGGTCATGTTGACGTACAGGGCAATGAACAGGCAGACACTGCTGGGCGGTCAGCAGTACATGACCTACCAGTTTCTTATAGAGGTATTCCATTTACGGACTATTTTGCTGCAATATCTTCCCACCTTCACACCCGTTGGCAACAACGTTGGTCTACTATGCTCGGCAACAAACTTCAATCTATTAAACCGAGTATAGGTTACTGGCCATCTTCTTATCACCAGTGTCGAGGTTGGGAGACCACTCTCTCCCGTCTTCGCATTGGCCATACTCGTCTTACTCATGGATATCTCATGGAGAGGCGTCTTGCTCCTCTCTGTGAGAATTGCCAAGCTCCATTATCAGTCAGCCACATTCTGTTGGACTGCCCACTTTATCAACGAGCACGCAGAATTTACCTCTGTCGTCGTCTTCGCTCCGCTGCTCTCTCTTTACCTTCCCTTCTCGCTGATGGACCCACCTTTCATCCGGACTCTCTCATTGACTTTTTGACAACAACTGACTTACTTCACAAATTCTGATACCTTCAGCCCTTTCTACTTCAATCTCTTGCTACCCTCTACCCCCGTACTATCCCCTGCCCCGCTGTTTTCTGTAACTTGCTGATCATCCCTCCTCCCTTCTGCCATCCAATACCCTCGCTTCCTTCCCTACCCTGCAGCGCTGTATAGCCCTTGTGGCTTAGCGCTTCTTTTTGATTATAATAATAATACAAGTGTTTCCTGACGCGGGTCTTAGATAATGACCCGCCGTTGGAGCTTTTCGTTATCCGAGGCCTTCCGCTGGTTTCCGGTACACCCCTTTAAAAATTATGGTCATAGTTATATATGTAGGGGAAATGGTTACCTTTGTGTTACACGTTGGAGAAAAGATGAACACTTAGAAATTCAAAGATAGATATCAAACATTAAGCAGATATTAAACTAAATCACATCTCTTGACTTTTATGCCTTTTCTGTAACTTGGTTCAAAGTGTTTCTTACCGTAAATTCTTCCATTATGTCATGAGAACCTATGGCCTTGTTCAGATAGGCCTCAATCCCGTCATGTGGGATACGTCTACTGATGTTGGCATATATATCTTCATCCTTACTGAAAATGTTCTCATATATGTTAGCATCATCATCTGGTGGTGGAGACAGGTCACTCCCAGTGTAGACATCCTGTTCAGAAACATGTGAAGAAACAAAAGAAAAAATAACCAAAGCTAAACAGTGCAAAAAAACCAACTTAATGATGATGGGAGAACATAAGTATTATATGTAAATTAACTTACAGTATTATATACATAAATATTTTTCAACTAATTAATAATACAAAAGTCGAAGAAGTCTTATCTACTGACTAATTAGTATTTCCTAGTGAATAGCAATTACATGTCAGCATAACTGCACGAAACAGGAGAAAATGGTGACCCAAGAATTGCCTGTCTTGAGTCAATTTTTAAAGTAGAATTGAGTAGACATTATTTGTTATGATTTTTACATAAATGTCAAATACGTGCACTAAAAATGTAAAGTGTGTTTATTGTAGGCTAATTCCTTTCATGAAATTTAAGAAATGTGCAGTATTCTCGTAAAATAAAAAAAAAAACATCACAACTGATAAAATACTTAGAATTTCCTATTTGATGATACAATCCCAAAAAATGATCTTGTTGCGAAAGTCATAGAGCATTTACCAAGCATTCACACTGTAAGTAATACTTGAAATTCCCAGATGATGGCATCCATGAGTGGCATGGGTCTCATAATGATTTCATTCTCTTCCAACACTTCATCCACTCAAATGACAAATAATTTCTGAGACTCGACAATTGTAGCCACTAATAGGTGAGTACTTTTTTTTTGTGACACACACACACACACACACACACACAATCACGGGGCATACGTGGAAGCTGAAAAAAAACAGACGAGCCTTAGGAATGTAAGAAAATATTTCTTTAGTGTGAGAATGGTTGAAAAGTGAAGTGATTTGAATGGGGCGGTATGGAGGCAAACTCAATACACAGCTTCAAGACGAGATATAAAAAATGCCCAAGAAGCCTGTACATCCACATACTAGAGTACGAGTACCAGAATGATTTTTAGCTGAGAAATCAATTCCATGAACTGCTTTAAACAAAGGCAGTTAAACTTTATCTTAAATACAAGAGTGTCACAACTTTGAATAACAGAAGATTTTTGGTGAGTGCTGGGAATGATAGTTATACACTAGCTGAAGAATCATCTGACTTTTCTGGCAGTATTTTACCAGAGAGCCCATATACTGAACTACTGAATAAGAGGGAATATATTAAAAAAAATTCTGAACGTGCCTCCTTAGATTAGACGAAAAGTTTGAATTGAAGCTACGGGGAAAATCAGGTTACACCAAGCTACACTTTTTAAAAAATGGAAAGTACAGGGGGTGGGAGGAAAAAATGATGATAAAAGAAACAAACGGGAAGCATTATTAATTAAAAGGACAGAGTGGACAGAAAATCTAGTTGCCCGTTCATTGATGTTGCAATATGAATGTGACCAAATAAAGTTAGTTGGAGAGGGCATTATCTTAATTTGTACTATGGTAGTGCTTCTGTGTGCCACTGACACTTACTTATCAGATACTGGATAATTTAACTCTCCTCACCTGAATTTTTAAAGATTATTAAAGCACTTTTTGTATTATTTTCAAGTATTGACTAAATTCCAGAAATATAGTAGTGCAAAAAAACATCAGAGGATAAGGTATAAAGAACAACAGAATATGTTTAGATGTGGTTTCCTGTAGAATATATTTAGATGTGGTTCCCAATTTATATATGTAAAGGTAGAAAGTTGAAAGTGAACACAGATAAGAGTAATGTGATATGGGTATCAAACGATTTAGATAAAGAAAATTGGATATCACACTGGAGACAGGGAGTATGGAAGAAATGAATGTGTTCAGATGCTTGGGAGTTGACTTGTCAGCAGATGGGTTTATGATAACGAAGATAACCATGGAATTGATGAAGAAAAAAAGGTGAGTGATGCATTGAGGTATCTGTGGAGAGAGCAAAAGTTATCCATGGAGGCAAAGAAGGGAATGTACGAGAGTATAGTGGTACCAACACTCTTACATGGGTGTGAAGCTTGGGTTGTAAATGCTGCAGCAAGAAGGAGGCTGGAGGCAGTGGAGATGTGTCGAAGGGCAATGTATGGTGTAAATATTATGCAGAGAATTCGTAGTGTGGAACTTAGGAGGGGGTATGGAGTTACTAAAAGTATTAGTCATAGGACTGAACAGGGGTTGTTGAGGTGGTTTGGTCATTTAGAGAGAATGGAACAAAGTAGAATGACTTGGAGAGCGTATAAATCTGTACGGGAAGGAAGGCGGGGTAGGGGGTCGTTCTCAAAATGGTTAGAGGGAGGGGGTAAAGGAGGTTTTGTGGGTGAGGGGCTTTGAGACGAATGGTTTTTGGGACCTGACGAGCTGTTGGAATGTGAGCAGGGTAATATTTTGTGAAGGGATTCAGTGAAACCGGTTAGCCGGACTTGAGTCCTGGAAGTGGGAAGTACAATGCCTGCATTTTAAAGGAGGAGTTTGGATATTGGCAGCTTGGATTATTATTATAATCAAAAAGAAGCACTAAGCCACAAGGGCTATACAGCACTGCAGGGCAGGAAGGAAATGAGGGCATCAGGTGGCAAAAGGGAGGTGGATGAGTAATAGGTTATGGATAACAGCGGAGCAGTGGATGGTGAAAGGGTAAAGGGCAGCAAGAGACTGAGCTAGAAAGGGCTGAGGGGAGTGGGTAAGGTATCATCAGAGTTCGTGGAGTAAATCAGTCGTTGTCAAGAAGTCAATGAGAGAGTCAGGATTAAAGGAGGGTCCATCAGCAAGAAGGGAAGGTAAAGAGAGAGTAGTAGAATGAAGACGGCGTTGCAGGTAAATTCTGCGTGCTCATTGATAGAGAGGGCAGTCTAACAGAATGTGGCTAATCGATACTGGAACTTGACACTGCTCACAGAGAGGTACAGGGTGCCTCTCCATGAGATACCCGTGAGTAAGACGAGTGTGGCCAATGCGAAGACGGGAGAGAGTGGTCTCCCAACCACGGCACTGATGACAAGAAGACGGCCAGTAACCTATGCTCGGTTTAATAGGATGAAGTTTGTTACCAAGCAGAGTTGACCAACGTTGCCAACGGGTGCGAAGGTGGGCAGCTATTGTAGCAAAATAGTCCAGAAATGGAACACCTCTATAGGAAATTGGTAGGTCATGTACTGCTGACCGCGCAGCAGTGTCTGCCTGTTCATTGCCCTGTACGTCGACATGACCAGGGACCCAACAAAAAATAATATCTTTATGCTTCGTAGAGATACGGTGTAGCCAAAGTTGGATACGGAGAACCAGGGGGTGAGATGTATCAAATTTTCGTATAGCCTGTAGAGCACTAAGGGAGTCTGAGACTACCACAAATGATGACACAGGCATAGATGCAATACGAATAAGTGCTGCAAGAATGGCATACAGTTCAGCAGTAAAAATGCTAGCAGAAGATAGTAAGTGCCCCCGCACGACGCTGTCCGGAAACACTGCTGCGAATCCGACGCCGTCTGAAGACTTAGAGCCATCTGTGTACACAGCGGTGGCATGAGAATGGGAGTGGAAGTGATCAAGAAAAAGAGAGCGGGAAGCCACCGTAGGCAGTTGAGCTTTCGAGCAAGGGAGTGAGAAAGAACAGACCCGAACAGCTGGAACTTCCCAGGGGGGTAGGGAAAAGTGAGATGCTACCGATGTCCCGCAACACATACAGAGGACAGGAGTTCTCGGCTGTCAAAAGTTAAACGAGCCACATTGCAAGGGTAACATCTCCGCCCCCGGGCAGGAAGGACATAAGTTTCTACTTTGAGGATTGGGAGATCCTGGAGTTCCAGCTGTTCAAGAATGTCATTGCCACATGACTGGAAATTCTGTTGGACTATGGTATGGGGCAGAATGACAGTACCACTACAAGAATTGAGAGAAGGATGTTTTTCAATAGTGATAGGAGTAGTATCGATATTCGAAAGGAGAGAAAGATCATGAGCTTGGGTAGCATTCTGGACAGTGACGATGCACGTACCGCTCTTGAGAGCATGAAATGAAATATCTCTACCAACATGACGCAGGAGCGCTTTGCCAATACTATGGTCAGAAAGGTAGGCAGAAGAAGTCGGTCTTAAAGTAAAGAATTTAGTCCATTGTGTGGTCCAAAACTGAGCGTAGAGAGGGAGTGCTTGACGTGTCGGTCTTTTCCGAGTAGAATGGGAAGGTAACGAAGGAGCATCATCAGGAGATTGACGTTGGCGTTTAGGAGTAGGACCGGAGTTGGTCCGGCGTGAAATGGGCGGGTGATTCGAAAATTGCTGTACCGTAGAGGGAGAAGCCGGAAGCATAGTCAAAGGAGAGTGGAGTTCAGACAAATTGAAGGAGTCAGTCGAAGCCCCGGTACCTGAAGCGGGTGAGGAAACAGCACCAGCAAGAGGTACAGGGGCATCAGGAGTGTCCGAAGAGTGGTCTAAACACAAGGCAGGGTCAGAATGGGGTGCGGTATCAAGAAGGGGCCCGGGGCTAGTGGGTTCATGGATTGGGTTCTCCATGGTTAGGTTACTCCTTTGCTTTTTGTTTTTAAGAAAAAAAAGAAAGAAAAGAAAATAAAAATAAAAAAAGAATAAAAAAGGGGGGAGCGGGGAGGAATAGTTCCCAGGAGGAATGAAAGGGCGGGAAATCTCCCTCCGCACCCAAGAGGACCTCAGCACCGCTAGTAGCGCAGATGCAGCATGGAACCCGTGCCATACCCTACCCTTCATGCCAGTAAACCAGCAATCCGGGATAGCAACCTTACATCTGCCGAGCTACCTCGGTGGACAAAAGAGAGGGCGGCCGGATATTCGCCACAAAGCATACCTCCTTCGGCCACCACCCCCGGAATCCAAAAGGTGGCTTCCAGAGATACACCCGTCGCCCGAAAGACACCCAAAGCTACTCTGGGATACGGGAGAGGGATCGGGACATCCCCAGGCGATCCAGATTCCACGGCAAACTACGCCACCGCCAAGAACCTCAACGGAATGGGATGGACCCTGGTGTCCTTTCCCCTACCTAGGAACTAGCGCGCCTGTGGGAGAAATCCCAAAGGCCAAAACGAGGAAGGGCAAAAGGGAGGGGTGGGGAGGAGGAGGAGGAATGGAAAAAGGGGAGGATGGGATAGGGGAGGGGAGAATGGGGGGTAATTAGGTTCGGTCTGAGGAAGAAGACCGACAGGTCTAATTCCTCAGACCAAGAGCCTCTTCACCATGCCAAGGAGCCCCCCTTGAAGAGGTGGCATCTTGGAGGGGCATCTAAACTGTCGTATCTGAGCGCCTCTGCAAAGACTGATTATTTATGAGTGATGGTGAAAGTGCTGAATGATGGTGAAAGTTTTTTTCTTTTTCTTGGGGGTCTTTCTTTTTGGGTCACCCTGCCTCGGTGGAAAACGGCCGACGAGTTATAAAAAAAAACATACATCATAGAGTTTATCCACTCTTGAAGAAGCCTCCACCAGCTATAGATCTTCCTTCTCTAACAAGACCACAAATGATGAGTGACAAATAAATATCGAAAGCGTGAGAACTAACCCCAGATAATGGAGGTAAAGAATCTGGAACAGGAGTTACGTTTCTCTGGCTTCGAGGAGAGTAGCGCTGATCCTGTAGAAAATAAATAGTGTATATCGTACCACATACTGATTGTATACTCTGTGGGTAAAAATGATAATATGATGTTAATACGGATATACGTATTAACGTTATCCCTGATGGGACTTGATCCATAAATATGTTTTAGCTTTTATTAATGATATACTGGGTAATTAAATAAAAACTTTCTACTGATTTCCTCACGTTTTCCAGTTATTTCATCATTTTGCTTGAGATAAATTACAAACGCGTAAATTGCTTGAGATAAATTACAACACGTATGTCTACTTAAATCATAAGAAAATTATTTTGGACTATGGGATAGTCTACAAGTTAGCTACCCATCTCTGTATAATACATCAATCAAAAGGCATTGTTCTAGGAAGTAATTGGCTTAGCGCTTCTTTTTGATTATAATAATAATAATCTAGGAAGTAATTCCACAAACATAGCAGTCCCACAGAAGATACTCCTAAGCAAATGCACCCAAAGTCGAAATTCCGCTAAACAAAGGCACTAATTCAGGAGCACCTCTGATAATTTTTAAATAGTACAGCAGCACAATAGTCTGACCCACACGACCAGAGTTGAATCAAGCGATCCTGGGACAAATGAGATGTTAGGTATGTTTCCTTTCACCTGTTTACCTAGCAGTAAATAGATACCAAGGTGTTAGCAGGCTGTTATGGGTGGCATCCTTGAGGGGAGGATTATATCTCAGCTTGTACTGTATACTTTCATACAGTATGAGCTGAGTTGATGTAGGATGACATTTCTATGCTGTCTTTTTTATAACAAACTTGTCGATATATTTTTCCACTGATATACAGTTTTTGGCCTGTAAATTCGATGTCAAAGAATAAGACTTGTCCAACATTTTATTACCGAAATATTTCGCCTGCACAAAGGAAATCTTCAGTCGAAAACTGGCCCATATTTGAAGAAGCCTGTTGTGCTGACGAAACATTTCGGCAGTAAAGATACGTAAGCGTTGCATATGTGTCTTATTATTCAACTTTTCAGTATTGTTTACTATCAATAATATGTAAATTCAATGATGCAAGTGTACCTGTGGTGTGGCAAGAATATTGGGAACTGAGTGGCCATACTGGTCCGGTGCAACTCTTCCGTTATCGTAGACTTCCACTGCACGCTTACCTAGAAAAAAAATACATCCGCTCTTCATATACCCAAGAAGCACAGTATTTAAAGATGAAAGATATATAACAGTGTTCAATTGAGCATAATGTTTAATTGACCTGTATGGACCCAACAGTAGGTGGAGTTTACCTGTATGGACCCTACAGCAAGTAGATTTGACCTGTATGGACCTCTACAGCAGGTAAAGCTGATTGTATGGACCCTACAGCAGGTGTTGACCTATATGGACCCCTACAGAGGTGGAGTTGACCTATATGGACCCCTACAACAGGTGGAGTTGACCTGTATGGACCCCTACAGCAGGTGGAGTTGACCTGTATGGATCCCTACAGCAGGTGGAGTTGACCTGTATGGATCCCTACAGTAGGTGGAGTTGACCTGTATGAACCCCTACAGCAGGTGAAGTTGACCTGTATGGACCCCTACAGCGGGTGAAGTTGACCTGTATGGACCCCTACAGCGGGTGAAGTTGACCTGTATGGACCCCTACAGCGGATGAAGTTGACCTGTATGGACCCCTACAGCAGGTGGAGTTGATCTATATGGACCCATACAACGAGGGATAGCCTGCATGAATCCCTACAGAGGGTGGAGCTGACCTGTATGGACCCCCACAGTGAGTGGCTGACTTGCTTAGATGTCCTCTGTTCTGGCATTTATTAGTCTGGCTTCTCACTAACATTCTTAGGAGAGTGCACTGTGTCTGGTACATGGCTCTTGATCCAAGGAATGGGAACTACCCTTCCCTACTTTGAATCAAAGCTGATGAATAAAATAATGCACCCAGGAAGAAAAATTGGCACATCACTCACCAGCAGTTACTTGTTACATTTGAGGTCTACTGACAACACAGGAGCCATTAGGCCGCAATTATATAACAAGATTATTTTGAACGCTAAAACAGAGATTAAATCAAATTTCCATTGAACATACACTAAGCAGTGTAGGTTGGGTAAGATTCGTCAGGAAATGGAACAAGTGTTTCTTGATGACCCGCCATTGCTTTAATAATACAACGAAAGAATAACTTCTGTATATGGCTCGTTCATTAAACAACTAGTGTGTTGTATTCTTGCTATCTATATTCTTCCTCAGTTATTTGCATCAAGATCAATAAATTTTATTACCGGAATTTAAATATCACCCATGAAATTTAATGCATTTATAAATTTATAAATAAATAAAAAGCATTTAAAATATTTATGGAACAATTCACAACCCACAAATTTACAATGAAAACAGGATGCTGTCACCTATCAAGGTTTTATGTCATGAAAATTCTTAATGAGCAAATATAACAGCTAATAACAGTTCTGGATCTCCCATTCTATCATATATCAATCACTGAACTACAGAGTCATAAGAATTCTCCAACCATAAGACTGCGAAGGTTGACACTGGCCTGTAACTGCAACCAGTATTCTACTTGCAGAATCCTTATGACTCTGCATCAATGGCTAATGCAACAGGTTGGTAGTTTTATGACACTCAGACCGTGACTGAATCCCATTCACCTACTGAAATGAAGTTTTCAGTATTATTACCTTTCCAAAACTTTGCTCCTGCTTTGTTTTGTGGTTTCCTTCGTCGTTTGCTGTGGAAATAAAAAAATAAATTAAACTATATTGTGCTTTTTTTAGTAAACAGCAGCTATTAAAAACTGTATTTTCATAAATGAATAAGACAGATATACGTGCAATAATTAACTGGCACTACAAAATGTAGATGCTATACATACACGCCATAATCTGTTAGAAGACTCACGATTCTTGTAAGTAAATTTTAATATACGATCGTAAAATTACGCTGGAAAAAGAATGGAACTGAAAATAATAGCTGCATGCATAAATATGCTTGAGCCTGTCATCCACTTGACTAGTTACTGTGTGATGAGGACAAGTGTCCTTTGTCTCTACCAGCTGGACATGACCATGATAGTAAACAATGATCGACTATCTAAATGAATATTTTTGTAAGTCCCTTGAAAGGTTTCTTGATGGTGGTGGGGGCTCTTGATTCAAGGAATTTTATTTATCGTCTCCTTCCTCGAATCAAACCTCATTGCCTCCCATTCTCCAGGCGCTAAATAAGCCTTTGGGCAATGTGTGGTGTAAATATTATGCAGAAAATTCGGAGTGTGGAAATTAAGAAAAGGTGCGGAGTTAATAAAGTATTAGTCAGAAAGCTGAAGAGGGGTTGTTGAGGTGGTTTGGTCATTTAGAGAGAGAATGGATCAAAATAGAATGACATGGAGAGCGTATAAATCTGTAGGGGAAGGAAGGCGGGGTAGGGGTCGTCCTTAAAGAGGTTGGAGGGAGGGGGTAAAGAAGGTTCTGTGGGCGAGGGGGCTTGGACTTCCAGCAAGTGTGGGTGAGCGTGTTAGATAGGAGTGAATGGAGACGAATGGTATTTGGGACCTGACGAGCTGTTGGAGTGTGAGCAGGGTAATATTTAGTGAAGGGATTCAGGGAAACCGGTTATTTTTATATAACCGGACTTGAGTACTGGAAATGAGGGGTTTGGGATATTGGCAGTTTGGAGGGATATGCTGTGTTTTTATACGTATATGCTTCTAAACTGTTGTATTCTGAGCACCTCTGCAAAAACAGTGATTATGTGTGAGTGAGGTGAAAGTGTTGAATGATGATGAAAGTATTTTCTTTTTGGGTCACCCTGCTTCGGTGGGAGACGGCCGACTTGTTAAAAATTATTATTATTAACAGTAATAAATGTTTGCCCTGAAAATTTCAGGTGATACCATTTGTTTGCTGAAGAACTGAAGGTACACTTACTATAAAAGGACGAAAACAACTAGGAGCAGCAGCATCAGCAGAACAAGGATGGAGACAGTCACGGCCACAGCAACACCACTGTCCTCCTTCACTAGAACAGGTATGGGTAACTTCATCTCTTCATATTCACTGTTCCCTGCAAATTTATTATACATTATTATGAAAAAAAATTACAGTACCTGGACTGGAACAAATCACTAATAACCCACGAGTTATAACTTGCCAATGTTCCAGGTCCGAGTGAAACGTCTTAAATCTCCGCTTGTAAGTGGGAGTTAGCTGTCATTATTCATTATTAGGTTAGTTTTAAGCTTCTTTGGCCGTAGTGTGCAGTATTCATCTGTTGGAGTGTGATCAGGGTAATATTTAGTGAAGGGATTCAGGGAAACCGGTTATTTTCATATAGTCGGACTCGAGTCCTGGAAATGGGAAGTACAATGCCTGCACTTTAAAGGAGGGGTTTGGGATATTGGCAGTTTGGAGGGATATGTTGTGTATCTTTATACGTATATGCTTCTAAACTGTTGTATTCTGAGCACCTCTGCAAAAACAGTGATAATGTGTGAGTGTGGTGAAAGTGTTGAATGATGATGAAAGTATTTTCTTTTTGGGGATTTTCTTTCTTTTTTGGGTCACCCTGCCTCGGTGGGAGACGGCCGACTTGTTGAAAAAAAAAAAAATTGATATCCTTTAACATCTAAGGGTCCATCTGTGATTTTTGTCATTGTATTTTGAAGTGAATACTAGGATAATAAAACTTGGATGCTTTTTTTTAAATTGTGTGCCAGATTCCTTCCAAAGTTTTGTTTGAGTGTTCTCATTATTTGAATAGCATCACTGGCCTGGTCACAGACCGGGGCGCGGGGGCGTTGACCCCCGGAACTCTCTCCAGGTCTCCAGGTAAACTGAAAGTGAGGAAGAGATCACGACAGTGAGACCCCTATAAACACTGGTATATCACTGGACAAAATTCCAGTCAGGGTGAACAGAAATGAACTAGAACAATGATTCTCAAAATAATTCAATTAATTTTTTTTACCTTGTTTTTTTGTCCCTTTATGATGGCGATAATTTTTTGTATGTAAGTAAGGGGGGTAAATGAAAAAATACATCAAGCCGAGGGGGTTAATGATGGAGGAAAAGTTGAGAATCCCTGATCTAGAAAATACATCAGTTCACATAGCAGAAAAGATTGAGCTACACGATGGACAAGCCATTAAGTGAAGAATGGCACCCCTGATCTCGAGACAGTCAAGAGTTGAAGAGGTTTAATAACGTAAACACCGACCACATCTTCAAGTTTAACATGACATACTAAACAACAGTGTGAGAGACGGTTATATTCTCTACCTTACGCAATGTTATTTATATTTTCTACTCTATACCGTTATAATGTTCACATTTTCTACTGTCAATGGTGTTACCAAAATCTCTACCCAGTATGGTGTTATTTACATTATCTACCCAATACGGTATAGCAGTATTTGCATAAGACAAACAACAGGAAATTCTGCTCTGAGAGAGTACTAACCTTATGGAAAAGTCTACCTGCGAAATGTGTACAAGACAACGTATTATAGTTCAACATTCCCCGGAAAGTATCACTAGACAAAATGGGGGACCCTGCATAACCCAAAAGCTTCTTGTCTGCCCCAAGGTCACCACTGATGGGAGATACTGTAGATAAATGGTAATGTATGGATGAAGATATGATCGAGCCTATTAAAAAAATGTTCGACTGAGTCAATGAACAGAGGAGAAACGTTTTAAGTGTAAAAAGCATAAGTGAAGGGGACCCAGTTGGTAAGGAAGTAGACGCAAAGTTTATATATGAATTTACCTGTAGATATATTATGACAAAACTCATGAGTTAAAAAAAATAGTAGAAAATTATCAAAATTTTTAAAGGGGTGGAGGGTAAGCCAGCGGAAGGCGTTGGTCAGATGACCAAAAGCTTCAGGGACAGATCATCATGTGACTAAAACCAGCGTCAGCAAACACTTATCCTGTTTCCTGACAAATTTTACCTAACCTCTGATTAATGTTTAATAGCCTAGACTCAAGAGTTAGAGTTCGATCCCCACACTGTTGGATGAGTATACAGAGACATAGTTTGATAACGTTCTTGACGTGGATTAGGCACTAGAGAAAATAAACCAATCAGTAAATAAAAATATAAAGACTAAGTCATAATGATTTACCCTGGGTAGTGGTTTGTGTTATGCGCAGCCTTCACATCAATTTGTTAATGATAATTAAAAACTACTAGAATCACGTAAGTAAATAAATTACCTTCCAGGTATATCTCAGCCACAACCGCGATCATATAATGTTCGTTGGTTTTCAACTGGCAGTTTTGATAAGTGCCATCAGTCTTTCCATCTCCTACCACAAATTCATCTAAGTCCTGTAAAAAATATGTATGACAAAGCTTTTATAACTTGAATAATAAAACAGTTTTATCAAGTACATGTATTTGACATAAGTATAATTTGTTATTGATAAACAATTTCACCTCACCGCTAAATTCTTTGAATTTAAAGTGTGTATAGTGTATGGAATAACTATTGTACTCATTATCCATATACTACTGATCATTGCCAAGGTCAATAACTAACAACAGCATTACTCTTACTGGAGATATAACTGCAGCCACAATGGATTATCTTTAGCACAGTCCTGGTCACTTGTCTGGCGCCTCGACCTCACAGCTTCTGAAGCAGACATCAGTCTCTTCTGCTTGTTACGATGTCTCAAATATTCATCTTTATAACTCTTGATTGTACTGACTTGTTTGCCCTCGGGAAGATGATGTGCCAAAATTGCCAGAGACCTACAGAATAATTTGTGATGTGACTAAATACATATATAGTGTTAATAAAGGCAAAATTAAAAAGTGTTCTAATTATTCCAAAGACAGTCATTTATATGTAGTTTTTTAACACATCGGCCGTTTCCCACCGAGGCAGGGCGACCCAAAAAGAAAGAAAAATACTTTCATCTTTCAACACTTTTACTATCACTCATACATAATCAATGTCTTCGCTGAGGCGCTCAGATACCACAGTTTAGATGTCCCTCCACACTGCCAATATCCCAAATCCCTCCTTTAAAGTGCAGGCATTGTACTTCCCATTTCCAGGACTCTAATCCGGCTAACCGGTTTCCTAAATCCCTTCACAAAATATTACCCTGCTCACACTCCAACAGCTCGTCAGGTCCCAAAAACCATTCATCTCCATTCACTTCTAACACGCTCACGCAAGCTTGCTGGAAGTCCAAGCCCCTCGCCCCCTCCCTCTAACCTTTTCGAAGACGACCCCTACCCCGCCTTCCTTTCCCTACAGATTTATATGCTCTCCAAGTCATTCTCCCTCGTTTCTTTCCTCAAAGTCTGCCAGAGTTAGTACCCTTGGACTTTTCTTCTCTCGGAGAAGAACAGTATAATGTGCCTTTTACACTTCAAGAACTGGAGGCAACGCTCTCAGCTTGCCGATCATCGGCAGCTGGGCCTGATGACATTCATATTCGTATGTTACAACATTTACATCGGTCAGCCCTTGTAGTCCTCTTACACCTCTTCAATCTTATTTGGGCACAAGGAGTTCTTCCCCAGCTGTGGAAATCTGCCATTGTTCTCCCTTTCCGCAAACCGGGTACTACAGGACATGATGCCTCCCACTATCGCCCCATCGCTCTTACAAGTGCAGTTTGCAAAGTGATGGAACGCCTCGTAAATCGACGTTTAATGTGGTATTTAGAGACTCACAACAGTCTCTCCGCTAGTCAATATGGCTTTCGTAAGGGTCGTTCTACCATAGACCCCTTACTACGCTTGGATACGTATGTTCGTAATGCCTTTGCGAATAATCACTCAGTTATTGCCATATTTTTTGACCTTGAGAAGGCATATGACACAACTTGGAGGTATAATATTTTGGCCCAGGCCCATTCCTTAGGCCTCCGAGGCAATCTACCATCCTTCCTTAAGAACTTTTTAACTGACAGACATTTCCGTGTTCGAGTCAATAATGTTCTTTCCCCGGACTTCGTCCAAGCTGAAGGTGTCCCTCAGGGATGTGTTCTAAGCACAACACTTTTTCTCCTTGCTATAAATGATTTGGCCTCTGTTCTTCCACCCAATATTTGGTCATCACTCTATGTTGATGACTTCGCTATTGCTTGTGCAGGCGCTGACTGTCACCTTATTGCAGTTTCTCTCCAGCATGCGGTCGACCGTGTTTCCACTTGGGCCCACCACACATGGGTTTAAATTTTTCAAGTACCAAAACTCACCAAATTACTTTCACTAGACGCTCTGTTATCTCCGATCATCCTTTGTATCTCTATGGCTCCCGTATCCCTGAACGTGATACAGTCAGGTTTCTAGGCCTTCTCTTTGACCGTCGGTTAACCTGGAAACCTCACATTACCTCTCTGAAGGCAACTTGTCACAGCCGGCTAAACCTTCTTAAAACCCTTGCTCATCTTTCCTGGGGAGCTGATCGTCGAACTCTGCTTCGCCTACATTCAGCCCTCGTTTTATCGAAACTCGATTATGGTGACCAGATTTATTCCGCGGCCTCTCCTGCTACTCTCTCTAGCCTTAACTCTATCCATCACCAAGGCTTACGTTGTGCCTTGGTGCTTTTCGCTCTTCCCCTGTTGAGAGCCTCTATACAGAAGCAAATGTTCCATCCTTGTCTGATCGCCGTGATGCCCATTGCCTTCGTTACTATGTACGCTCTCACGATCTACACAATCCTTCCATTTATAGAATGGTCACCGATATTAGTAGACATTCTTTATTCGTTCGCCGCCCCTGTTTGCTCCGTCCCTTTCTCTTCGCCTACATTCACTCTTGTCTTCCCTTCAGTTACCACCTTTATATGTTCATGTAGCATCTCACTTTTCCCTGCCCCCCTGGGAAGTTTCCAGCTGTTCGGGTCTGTTCTTTCTCACTCCCTTGCTCGAAAGCTCAACTGCCTACGGTGGCTTCCCGCTCTCTTTTTCTTGATCACTTCCACTCCCATTCTCATGCCACCGCTGTGTACACAGATGGCTCTAAGTCTTCAGACGGCGTCGGATTCGCAGCAGTGTTTCCGGACAGCGTCGTACGAGGGCATTTACTATCTTCAGCTAGCATTTTTACTGCTGAACTGTATGCCATTCTTGCAGCACTTATTCGTATTGCATCTATGCCTGTGTCATCATTTGTAGTAGTCTCAGACTCCCTTAGTGCTCTACAGGCTATACGAAAATTTGATACATCTCATCCCCTAGTTCTCCGTATCCAACTTTGGCTACGCCGTATCTCTACCAAACATAAAGATATTGTTTTTTGTTGGGTCCCTGGTCATGTCGACGTACAGGGCAATGAACAGGCAGACGCTGCTGCGCGGTCAGCAGTATATGACCTACCAATTTCCTATCGAGGTGTTCCATTTCTGGACTATTTTGCTGTAATAGCTACCCACCTCGCACCCGTTGGCAACAACGTTGGTCAACTCTGCTCGGTAACAAACTTCATTCTATTAAACCGAGCATAGGTTACTGGCCGTCTTCTTGTCATCAGTGCCGAAGTTGGGAGACCACTCTCTCCCGCCTTCGCATTGGCCACACTCGTCTTACTCATGGGTATCTCATGGAGAGGCACCCTGTTCCTCTCTGTGAGCAGTGTCAAGTTCCAGTATCGATTAGCCACATTCTGTTAGACTGCCCTCTCTATCAACGAGCACGTAGAATTTACCTCCAACGTCGTCTTCGTTCTACTACTCTCTCTTTACCTTCCCTTCTTGCTGATGGACCCTCCTTTAATCCTGACTCTCTCATTGACTTCTTGACAACGACCGATTTACTCCACAAACTCTGATGATACTTTTCGCACTCCCCTCAGCCCTTTCTGGTTCAGTCTCTTGCTGCCCTTTACCCTTTCACCATCCACTGCCCTGCTGTTGTCCGTAACCTGTTGCTCATCCATCTCCCTTTTGCCACCTGATGCCCTCACTTCCTTCCTGCCCTGCAGCGCTGTATAGTCCTTGTGGCTTAGCGCTTCTTTTTGATTATAATAATAATAATCCAAGTCATTCTACTATGATCCTTTCTCTCTAAATGACCAAATCATCTCAACAACCCCTCTTCAGCTCTCTGACTAATACCTTTAGTAACTCCAAAACTCCTAATTTCCACACTACGAATGTATATATATTCAACCGTCTCCCACAGAGGCAGGGTGACCCCCCCAAAAAATAAAAAAGCACTTTCACCATCTTTCACACTGTCTTTGCAGAGGCGCTCAAATATGACAGTTTAGATGTCACTCCAAACATCCAATATTCTAAACCCATCCTTTAAAGTACAGGCATTGTACTTCCCACCTCCAGGACTAACCGGTTTCCCTGAATCCCTTAACAAAATATTACCCTGCTCACACTGCAACAACTCGTCAAGTTCCAAAAACTATTCGTCTCCATTCACTCTTATATAACAAGCTCAAACATGCCTGCTGTATTTCCAAGCCTCTTGCAAATAAAACCTCTCTTACCCCCTCTCTCCATTCTTTCCTAGGACGACTCCTACCCCTCCTTTCCACTACAGGTTTATACATCCTTCGAGTCATCATATTTTGCTCCCTCTATTATTTATTCATTATTTACAATATCTGACCCATGAAATAAACAACTTAAATATATTTGCCTTTCCTGTGAAAATATACTAATGAAAAATATATCTGCAGACAATATTTAAATAATAAATATAATAAACTTAATGGAGATAATTAGGCAGCATAGAACTAACCTCTCACCGTCGCCATTCATCTCAATGCTGGGCAGACCAAGAGTAACATTAGTGTTGGTTTTGGTCTTCACTGTAAGTTCTCCTTTAAATTTAGGTGGGATGGGCAGAGTGGCGACCATTCTGTTCAAGGTCATGCCACATCCTGCAGGTTACAGTAGTGAGCCTCAACTCGGAAGCGTTTGCCTCGCTTTAACCCAGATATCTGATGGTGATATGAAAGATTGCTTGAAAACAGTGTTATGGTTTTATAAATGGTATAATCAATTAGTGAACCTAAATATCAGGGTCCTCTGAACTGTGATGTAGGTACACTCCTGGCAACAGAGATTGTGCGAATGAAGGTAATTGTACTTTGTCTCTTTTGGGTCATCCTACACTGGCAGAGGGACGGTGTGTTAAAAAATGTATTTTAATAAGTTGTAAGTGTACTGATATCAATGACTTGTGACAAGCAAGTTACCCCTAACATTGGCTTTAATACATAAATTATGTCAAGTCTGTACAGACAGTAAGAATGTGTCATTCTTACTGTTTATCCCATTTTCTCATTACGGTGGTAATTTTCATATTTTTCTTATTATAGGTTGTTTACAGGCTAAGAGCTGTTAACCTACCTCAGCTCTTTTCAAAGCCTAGGACTATCTAAAGTATATTACCACCCCTTGCGATGCCACCCAAAACAGTCGACTATCAATCAATCAATCAAGTTTATTCTCTATAAGGATTACAATGTGGGGTTTACAGATTTTGGGTATTGTGTGGTTTACATGTTTTAAAATACTAATTACAGAGGGGGCCACTAGGACACTTAGCGTGGCTAGGCATATCGGGCAGACTTAGATTAATTCTAAACTTTAAATTATTACAGATTATGGTATTAAGGCTAAGTGATTACATTATAGTTTGTGAGTTTAGCAATGTGAATGCTTTTGTTTTGGCACAATACATAGTGTCTATATTGGAGTATCATAGGCAAACTTATGACTAGTTAGGATTCATTATTTTAAGATTAAGATTCGTATTTCTGTGTTTATAGTCATTGGATGAGTGAGTATAAGTATGAACCACCAGGTGGTTTACATGTAGTTAGTTGACGGGGTGTATCAGGGAGATAAGATGTTTTCTAACTTAAGTTTTGAAAGTGATGAATGTGTCTGCAGTTCTAGAGTTTTCAGGTAGGTTGTTCCAGATTTTAGGCCCTTTGACACACTGAATTTTTGTAAAGGTTTAGTCGGACACGGGGAATGTCATAGAGATGTTTCTTTCTGGTGTTATGCCCGTGGGTCCTGTCACAACTATCAAGAAAGCATTTTAGGTCAAGGTTAATATTGGAATTTAAGGTCCTGTAGATGTAGATTGCACAGTAGTAAGTGTGGATGTTCTGAACAGGGAGTAAGTTTAGATCTATGAAGAGTGGGGGATGTGTTGCCGGGGATGGGATTTAGTGATTATTCTTACTGCGGCTTTTTGTTGGGTTATTATTGGCTTTAGATGTGTTGCTGCAGTTGATCCCCAAGCACAGATAGCATAGGTGAGGTATGGATAAATGAGTGAATGGTATAGTGTGAGACGGGCAGTTTGCGGCACGTAGTATCGTATCTTGGAGATTATTATTATTATTATAATCAAGGGGGAAGCGCTAAACCCGGAGGATTATACAGCGCCTGGGGGGGGGGATGTGGAAGGCATTCAGGCTTAATTCGGGGAACTGGAGCACAGATCCAATTCCCTAAATCAAGAGGTATCTTGGAGAGGATCCCCACCGTTTTGGATACTTTTTTTTGTTGTGTTGGATATGAGTGCTGAAATTTAGGTAGTTGTCGAGGTATAGACCTAGGAATTTGCCCTCATTATGTCTGGCAATTAGAGTGTTGTCGATCTTAATGTTAAGTTGCGCAACACCTGCTCTGCTACCAAACATAATGTAGTAGGTTTTGTCAGTGTTAAGTGTAAGTTTATTGGCTGTCATCCAAGTCAGAATTTTGAGCAGCTCCTCGTTGACAATGGTGTTGAGGGTGGCAAGATTAGGGTGGGAGATGACGTAAGTCGTGTCGTCAGCAAAGAGAATGGGTTTCAGGTGTTGGGATACGTTTGGAAAATCATTAATGTAAATGAAGAAGAGCAGGGGACCAAGGACACTTCCCTGCGGAACTCCAGTATCAAGTGGCCGTGTTGATGAGGCTGTGTCTTTAATGGTGACATACTGATACCTATTAGTAAGGTAGGATTTGAAATATGCAAGCGCATGTCCTCTTATACCATAATGGTCAAGTTTGTGGAGTAGGATGCCGTGGTCTACTGTGTCAAACGCTTTTCTTAGGTCAATAAAAATTCCTAGTGGATATTCCTTATGTTCCAATGCTGTGCAAAGCAGATCTAGCATTTTTTTACAATTGCATCATTAGTGCTTTTATTTACCTGACTCCAAACTGTACAGGGGTTTGAGTAATGTTTTGTGCCGTTATAAAATGAATATAGTCCAGTCTGTTGCACGATTTTCTCGAAGAATTTTGGATAGCAATGGAAGTTGTGATATTGGCCTATAGTTGTTTACATCTGTAGGGTCACCACCTTTATGTATTGGTGCAACCCTTGCTGTCTTGAGTAGTGTCGGGAAAGTGCTAATTTCTAGTGACTTGTTAAAAAGTAATGTAATAGCATGCAAAAGGACATGGGTCGCTCGCTTGTACAATAGTGGTGGGACGTGAGACTAACACCCGGGTACCTACTTACTGTTAGGTGAACAGGAAAGCAGGTGTAAGGAAACATGACCAACGTTTCAACTCGTGCCGGGGATCGAGACACTCAAACTGTGAACTGTGCTACCAATCGAGCCACTGGACAAAATAACGTTGATATAGGTCATCTACTGATACTTACACATTTGGAAATTTCCTGAGTGTAGTATAGTTAACTCTTAAGGCGACTTATGTACTAAAGTTAATTGAACTACAGGAGAGGGCCAGCAAAATTATATTTCATTTATCAAAGATTTTGATCATTCTCACCTCGCATGTAGGTTGTTGATAAGAATCTGGTTGTAACTTTTCCCCACACTTGTAGTCTGTGTGCTGAAGTACTATGGTGAAACTGAGTAAAACACCGCCAGGTTTTGCTGGCAAGGAGAGACTAAAGTGTAACCTCTCAGCATATGATGTAACATTAAGTGATTCTGGTGGTCCCGGCTCTGAGGAGGAAGTACCGGTGTAGTCTAATAAATATAAATACCATAACTGTTGAGCTAAAATAAATTAAATTTTGTATTATTTCTGACATTGATGTTTTGAGGGAAATAAAAAAGTTGAAAATTGTGTGATAAAATTTACTACATTTAAAACTTATTAAATATTAGCTGATAATATAACCACTGATTAATCTTTTGAATCACTGTTAGTATGTGTAACATTAATGTTTACATACAATTACATTCACATCCATTATACATTCACATCCACTATACATATTCACATTCACTAAACATTCACATGAGCTATACATTTACATCCACTATATACATTCATATCTTTTATTCATACATACCCACTACACATTCACATCCACTATACCTGGAGAGGGTTTCGAGGGTTAACGCCCCCGCAGCTCGGTCTGAGACTAGGTCTCGTGGTGGATCAGGGTCTGATCAACCAGGCGGTTACCGTTGGCCGCACGCAAACTATACATTCACATCCACTATACATTTATATCCACTACACATTCAAATCCAGTACACATTCATACCCCACTATACATTAACATCCACTATACATTCACATTTACTATACACATTAAAGTCAAGATAGTAATGCGTTTACTTACCAGTTTCATTAGTGACGGCCCACACCTCCGTGACCACACTTCTCCCCTCACCGTTTGTCGCACTCACCTGACACAAGAAATATATAGTAAGAGTTCTCGTATACTGCACATGTCAACACAATACTGTATCACAAACCTTTGCTCATACACAGTTATGCATTATATGAGCAAAACATCACACTGTTTTTGCTAGTAAATGGTTGAACGCAAACAAAAATGACTGCCGATCTCTAGAAAAAATCCTTTAAAATTGGAAGCAATCCCAAGAAACTGAGTTATTATATATTTTATTGAAAATGTAGCAACACGTTACTCGCAGCTCAGTCTGCAGTATGTTCATAACAGTGGGAAGCTCCGGCAGAAGCAAGCAAATATTTTTCTGGAGATTTAGGTGTTGACACTGAGAAACATCAGAATATGTAACAACTTTTAGCACAACTATTTCAAAGTTTAGTGTAATATCTGAAGCAGTAGCAGCAATTTACTAGTGTTACACACTATCTTTTATAACGTTATATGCTTCTTTCTGAACGTTGTGGTTCTGGCACCTCTGCAAAAACAGTGATTATGTATGAATGAAGTGAAAGTATTGAAGGATGATGAAAGTATTTTCTTTTCGGGGATTTTCTTTCTTTTTGGGTCACCCTGCCTCGGTGGGAGACGGCCAACTTGTTAATATATATAATACTATTGGGTATATAATATATATATATAATATATAAATGATATATCAATATATATAATAAATAATAGTAGTAGTTTGGAAGACTGCAAACCACCCAGGGCGGTTACTGAACAGTCTGCACAGTGAGTGTAAAAACGCAGCCTGTGATTGTTTTTAACAGAAGGTAGGATTGCAGATGTCATTTTTGTCTTCTCATAAATATGCAGATTACAGGCTGTTCTTGCACATTCAACATACACTTAGGTCACACTACACATACATGTAACACATTTAATATACACACTCATGCTGAGTTTTCTTTGATTTTAATCTTAATAGTTGCGGGGGGGGGCGTATGTAATTTCCTTTTATATCCATGGGGAAGTGGAATAAGAATCTTTCCTATCCGTAAGCCATGCGTGGTTGTAAAAGTCAACCTAAAATGACCGGAACAATGGGCTATTAACCACCCCTTTTCCTGTAAAGATTACTAAAAAGAATAAGAAAAGAAAATTGCAAAGTGGGAAGTCTGATTGTGCGTGATGTTGGCAGATGATAAGAAGAGATGATTGTGGATGTTATGAAATGAGAAGAAGCTGGATGTCCTGGCTTTAATGAAACAAAGCTGAATGGGGTGGGAGAGTTCATGGAGAGGAATAAATGGGATAAGTCAGGGGTTTCAAATAGATTAGAGCTAAAAAGGAGTAGCAATAATGTTTGAAAGGATAAGCTATGGCAGGAAAAGAGGGACTATAAATGTTTAATTCAAGAATTATTGGGTAAAATAAAGATTGGATGTGAAAAAGTGGGTTATAATAAGCGTGTATGCACCTGGAGAAGAAGAAGTGTAGAGAGAGAAGAGATTTTGGGAAATGTTGAGTGAATGCGTGGGATTTTTGAATCAAGTGTGAGAGTAATGGTGTTGGGGATTTAATGCTAAAGTGGGTAAAAATGTTATGGAGGGAGTAGTATGTAAATTTGGGGGTGCCAGGGGTAAATGTAAATGGGGAGCCTTAATGAGCTATGTGTAGAAAGAAATTTGGTAATAAGTAATACATATTTTATGAAAAAGAGGATAAATAAATATACAAGGTATGACTGTATCACGAATGAAAGTAGTTATTAGATTATGAGTGGTGGATAAAAGGTTGATGGGTAGGCTCCAGGATGTACATTTTTTATAGAGGGGCAACTGAGATACGGATCATTTATTTATTTGTAGCTACATTAGAGTAAGAGGTAGATGGGAAAAGAGGAAGGAGGCACAACAAGTAAGAGGGAAGTGAAAGTGTATAAACAAGGGAGGAGGAAGTTCGGGTAGATATAAGCGACTATTTGGCCAAAAGGTGGGCTTGTGCAAAGATGAGTAGTGGGGTTGAAGAAGTTTTGAAATAGTTTAAAAATGCGTATTAGAATGTGGGGCAGAAGTTGTGGTTTATAGTAGGTGGGGGCAAGGAGGAAAAGAGGAGTGATTGGGTGAAATGTATAAGTAAAAAGGTGTGAGAAAAGAGAAAAAGGTAGCTATGAGAGGTTTTTACAAGCAGAATTTTTAATAAGACGAGCAGATATATGTGAGAGTAAAAGAAAAGGTTAAGAGAGTGGTGAAGAGAGTGCAAAAGAGAGCAGATGATAGAGTGGAGAGGCACTGTCAAGAATTATAATGAAAATAAGAAAAAATTTGGAGTGAGTTAAACAAGTTAAGAAAGCCTAGGAAAATATGGATTTGTCAGTTTAAAAACAGAGTAGGGGAGTTAGTAGATGGGTAGATGAGGTATGGGTAGATGGCGAGAAATTTAGAGGAACTTTAAATGTTAAGGAAGAAAGGAGGCAGTAATTTTCATGCACTGGTCAGGGAGGTTATACCATCTTTTAGGAGTGAAGAAGAGCAGAATGTAAGTTGTGGGGAGGTACGTGAGGCAAGTACTTAAAATGAAAGGGGGTAAAGCAGCTGGAACTGATGGGATCATGACAGAAATGTTAATAAGCAGGGGGGGATATAGTGTGGGAGTGGTTGGTACTTTCTTGTTTATAAATGTAAAAGAAAGAGGGAAGTACCTAGGATTGGCAGAGAGCATGTATAGTCCCTTTAGATAAAGTGAAATGGGACAAAAGAGACTGTAAAAATTATAGAGGAATAAGCTTACTGAGGTATACCATAAAGTGTACGGTAGGGTATAATTGAAAGAATTAGAGGTACGCAAAGGTAGGATTGCGATGAGCAAGGAGGTTTTAGAGTTGGTAAAGGGGATGTGTAGATCAGGTGTTTACATTGAAGCATAATATTGTGAACAAGTATTTAGATAAAGATATGGAAGTTTTTAATTGCATTTATGGGATATAGGAAAGGCATATGATAGAGTGTATAGAGGAGCAATGTGCAGAATGTTGCAAGTATATGGAATAGGTGGTAAGTTATTAAACGCTGTAAAGAGTTTTTATGAGGATAGTGAGGCTCAGGTTAGGTGTGTAGAAGAGAGGGAGACTACTTCCCGTAAAAAGTAGGTCTTAGACAGGGATGTGTAATGTCACCAGGTTGTTTAATATATAAAGATGGGGTTAGTAAAAGGAAGTAAATGCTAGGGTGTTTGAGAGGGGGTGGGATTAAATTATGGGAATCAAATTCAAAATGGGAATTGACACAGTTACTTTTTGCTGATGATACTGTGCTTATGGGAGATTTTCTAAAGAAAAAATTGCCAAAGTTAGTGGATGAGAGTTTGGGAATGTGTGGTAAAGGTAGAAGTTGAAAGTGAACATAGAAAAGAGTAAGGTGATGAGGGAGACCAAATTGATTTAGATAAAAGAAAAAATTGGATATCAAATTGTGGGGAGGAAGAGTAAGGAAGAATTGAATGTTTTCAGATACTTGGGAGTTGACGTCGCGGTGGATTTATGAAGATGAGGTTTAATCAAGAATTGATGAGGAAAAAAGGTAGTTGTGCGTTGAGGTATATGTGGATCAAAAAACGTATCTATGGTGTCAAAGAAGGTAATGTAATGAAATTATAGTAGTAACCAACACTCTTATATGGGGTGAAGCTTGGGTGTAAATGCAGCAGCGAGGAGACGGTTGGAGGCAGCGGAGATGTTCCTGTTTAAGGGCAATGTGTGGTGTATATATTATGCAAAAATCGGAGTGTGGAAATTAGGAGAAGGTGTGGAGTTAATAAAAAGTATTTAGTCAGAGCAGAAGAGGGTTTGTTGAGGTGGTTTGGTCATTTAGAGAGAATGGATCACAGTAGAAAGAACATGGAAAGCATATAAATCTATAGGGGAAGGAAGGCGGGGTAGGGGTCGTCCTCGAAAGGGTTTGGAGAGAGGGGGTAAAGGAGGTTGTGGGTAAGGGGCTTGGACTTCCAGCAATCGATGCGTGAGCTTTAGATAGGAGTGAATGGAGACGAATGTACTTGGACCTGACGATCTGTTGGAGTGTGAGCAGGAAAGTATTTAGTGAAGGGATTCAGGGAAACCGTTTATTTTCATAATAGTCGACTTGATCCTGGAAATGGGAAGTACAATGCCTGCACTTTAAAGGAGGGGTTTGGATATTGGCAGTTTTTGGAGGATATTTGTGATCTTTATATGTTTAAGCTTCTAGACTGTTGTATTCCTGACACCTCTGCAAAAACAGTGATAATGTGCGATGTGGTGAAAGTGTTGAATGATGATAATGGTATTTTCTTTTGGATTTCTTTGAGGGGGGGAACCCTGCCTCGGTGGAGACGGCCGACTTGTTGAAAAAAAAAAAAAAAAAAAAAAAAATAATATATATATATAAAATATAGTATATATATATATATATATATATATATATATATATAGATATATGTATATATGTCAACCGTGCCGAATAGGCAGAACTTGCGATCTTGCTTAAATACAACACTCATCTTACCATATAGGACAATGAAAATTTGTGTATGCAGTAATTTCCCCAAAAAACATTCTGACCTAACAAAAAAAAAATATTTTTCATTGTGTTTGTTTATTTTTAAAAATTTTATTGTAAATGTATCTAAAAAAAATTTTTGTTGGGTTAGGCAAAAAAAATTGCGCTTGTTATAATAAGGTTGGTAATTTTTCAAAATTTTTTTGGGTGCAAAATTATAATTTTTTACTTTAACACAATGAAAAATATATATCTTAAAAACGTATAAGAAAAAATTTTAGAAAGGACTTAATTTTAAATGAGTTCTTGCTAACTGACCAGTTTTACTATTGGGCATGACGTAATAATACCTGGGTTTTTTCCCTGAGAGAGTTCGGGGGTCAACGCCAAAAAACATCGTCTCCGTTCATTCCAACACGCTCAAAAAAGCCCCCACCACAAAAAACCTTTACCCCTCCCCCCAACCTTTTCGAGGATGACCCTCCCCGCCTTCCTTCCTTAAAATTTTATACCCCTTTCCAATCATTTACTCTGATCCATTCTCTCAAATCCCAAAAACCCCCTCAAAAACTCTCTCAGCCCTCTGAATAATATTTTTAATAACTCCACCCTTCTCCTATTTCCACACCCCCGAATTCTCTGCTTTTACACCAAAACATTCCCCTTATCACGACATTTCCATGTCCCCCAGCCTCTTTCTCCTGGGGATTTCACCCAAGCTTCACACCCATGTAAGGTGTTGGTCCACTTACTCTCATACATTCCCTTTTTTGCCTCCATAATAAAAGGGCTTTTTTCTCCACAGATACCTCAATGCATCAACCACCCCTTTTCCTTCATCAATTTTTATGGTTATCTATCCTTCATAAACCATTTACTGATAAATCAAATCCCCAAAATCGAACACTTTTTTCTTCCAATTCCCACCTCCAATGTGATATCCATTTTTTTTTTATCTAAAAGTTGATACCCTCATCACCTTGCTTTTACCTATTTCACTTTCAACTTGCTACCTTATACACCCTCCCAAAATCTCCCACAACCCGCAAATTATTAATATATTTTTATTTTCAACACCCCGAAAAAAAGTGGTTTTTAAAGGGGTTAGAAAAATTTGGTTAGCCGGGATCGAAACCCCTGTATTTTAGCCTGCTTCGTGGAAGAGTCAAAATTTACGCCGTTTAAAAACCCCTGGCCTGACTGATGGCCCTTAGAAAAGAATTTTAAATTTATATAACCCTGAATTTATAATCTTCTCAATCAAATTTATTTTGGGCCCTTTTTGAAGTTATTTTGTTCTTTTAGATCTATCTACTCTTTCCAACTGAAGCATAAACCTACCGGCTGTCACTGAGGAGTATTTATTTGTAAATTCTTTAGCAAGTGCCCCTGAAGGAAGGTTCCTTGACGCTGGTGTGGAGCTCTTGATCTAAGGAATTTTATCTGTGCTCCAGTTCCCTGAATTGAGTCTGAATGCCTTCCACATCCCCTCCCCCCCCACACACACAGGCGCTGTATATTCCCTCCAGGTTAATAATACTTGTTATAAACCGGTTAATTATAAAGAGAAATGATGGATGATTGCAAAGGTTCATTAACCTGTAGACCTAAAGGAAGAAAGCTGAAAAAAAAAGGTTTTCCTTGCACTTACCACGAAAGTATAATTCTTGTGAGGTTCCAGGTTTGTGATGTCTACACAGCGGTCGAAGACGTCCGTATTTGTGCATTTTGAATTTGAAATGTTGTACCTCGTGAAATTAGATACAGTTTTAGTCTTGTAGGAGAAATAAATGATATTTCCATGTGTTGGACAAGGATCATTCCAAAACAGACGAACTTCAGTAGATGATAATGCACTGGCTGTCAGGTTTCTCACAGGTGGAGGTACTGAAAATTACTCTATCATTATTCCCAGTATGTAAAGACCTTTTTAAATATATTTTACAAAACATATGTACGTAAAACCACAATAAAGATAAATCTTAGTAACACATCTATTTTTCAAATATACTGTAGTAATACGTACTTCCTTTTTTAGTTTTGAAAGAAGTGTTGAGTGTCATGCCAGTGCCAACTTCATTAGTGACGGAGAGGATTGCATTATATTCAGTGCCAGGTACCAGTTCATTTATATCAGCACTAATCTTTCTATTAGATACAGTTGCTAATTTTTGAGACTTAAGAGTTTCATTTTTACATTCCACAAAAGATGACACAGCAACAATAAAACTTATGTTTTGTCCATTGTATGTTTCACACTCATTACTTAGGTCACCTGTGCACACTGTACTTATGTTTTCAGCTGTGCAATTAAAGTTGTTCACTTGTACTTCAGGAGCTGTAAATAAAGGTGTTGATTATGTTTTATAACAATATAAGTCACACCAGGTTAAAAAAAAATTAAAATCTGAAAATTATAATCTAAATGTTTATATACAATGGCAATGGTGTACAGTGGAATACTGAAAAGTTAAAACATTTCGGCCCAGAAGTGGTCTGAGACCTCAGAGCGTCTGAGGGGGAAAAATCTGGAGGAAATTTTTGAGGGAAAAATAACAACAGAAAAATATTAATGTACAAATGAAATTGTTACCGCTAATTCCCACTGTACTTATCGCCTTGTGGGTATATGAACTTCTTGTAAATCCTGTATTAGGTAAGATTATGAGGTAAAATAGTGATGCTAAACAAATTCTTTCCAAAATATAAAATTTACATCGATACTCAGCGTCATCAAGTATTCTCAGGTTAGGTTCGTCAGGAAACAGGGTAGGTGTCTCCTGACGCGGGTCTTAGATGACCCGCCAGTGGAGCTTTTGGTCATCTGACCGAAGTCTTCCGCTGGCTTACCGGTCCACCCCTTTAAAAATTATGGTCAAAGTTATAACCATTTCTTAATAAGTATTCCCAGTTTATAACTCATCGGTCAATTTCTCACTATTATGTGGTCTGATCAACATATGACCACTTTAAATATTCTCAGAATTATACCTTACAAACTCTGTTACATTTAAATGAAGGGAATGCCAACAAAAACCTCATTAGCAATACTTCATTATTTGTCTTCTACCTCAAAAAAAAAAAAAAAAAAAGCTAATGGCAGTCGCCACCACTGTACCTTCTCTTCTTCACCCTCCACCTCTCTGCCTTCCTTTCTACCATCGTATTTAAAAAAAAAAAAAAGCTAATGGCAGTCGCCACCACTGTACCTTCTCTTCTTCACCCTCCACCTCTCTGCCTTCCTTTCTACCATCGTATTTGTCATAAGTCTTTACAAATGCTCTCTATTCCCTCATTGTTATGGTTGATGGAGGCGAGTGTCTGGCATGTGCAGTGGCGTGCAGAGGGGGGCCGAAGGGCGGTGGCCCCGGGCAGCCAAGTAGGGGAATGATCCAGTTAGAGAGGTAAATAAGATAGTGATTTTGAAATTTCAGCGGTGATAAATTAGTTTTTGGAGGCTCATCGCACTACAGAGGCAGTGGTTAATTAACCCTTTATTCCTTTAACATGGTGTACCCTTTCTGTCCAGAGAAAATGGTGCCCCCTAATTGAAGACGAACAAGTAAATTTATTCAGGTATACACAAATAGTTACATATATTATCATACATAGCAGTATATGTGTAGAGAACCTAGGATAACCCAAAAAAGTCAGACTTTGCAAATTATTATAATAATAATGTGGCAGCCATTCAGTTATATGACGAAATATTGATTTGGTGATGTTCCTTCGAGCTGGAGGGAATATAATTCCCACTGATGGTAAAGATGCTCTGGAGTCTTTACTGCAGTATGGAAGGGAAGTCTCTCCCACGCTGTGTGTTTCATACTACACTGAAAGAGAGGGTACAGAGATGCAAGGAGGAACGAGAGGCAATGATGAAGATGAGCAGGACCCAGACACAGGAGGAAGAGCAAACACACCCCGCAGAAGGACTCCAACCGCGACAATCCCAACGCAACTGATTAATCTAAACCAGAACCCACACACTGTTCCCTCTGCCACCAACCCCCACATCACAAACCTCACCCCAACAGCTACCCCTATGGGCATTCTGACCCAACCCCCCTCATCATCACAAACCCCACCCACACCACAGCTCCCCATAGGCCCCCACCAAGGCTCTCACTCCCCCAACCCCAATATTCTCCCAGGACCACAGTGATAGAAAAGAAGCTGAAAGTTTGGTACACAAACGCGGACGGAATAACGAATAAATATGAGGAGTGGCACAAAAGAATCAGCGAGAAATCCCCAGACATCATAGCAGTCACAGAAACGAAACTCGCTGAGACAATAACAGACGCAATCTTCCCACCGGGATATCAGATCCTGAGGAAAGATAGGAGTAGAGGGGGAGGAGGGGCTGCACTGCTCATAAAAAGCCGATGGAGATTTGAGGAAATGGAAGGCATGGAAGTGATTGGAGAAAGGGACTACATAGTAGTTACAATTCAGTCTGGAGAACATAAAGTAGTCATTGGAGTGATGTGTAACCCACCACAGAACTGGGTGCGGTGGCAAGAAGAGCTCACTCGAGCAGAGTAAAGTTACTGGTAATGGGCGATTTCAACCACAGGGAGATCGACTGGGAAAACCTGGAGCCACATGGGGGTCCCGAAACATGGAGAGCCAAGATGATGGATGTGGTACTGGAAAACCTCATGCATCAACATGTCAGGGACACTACTGGAGAGAGAGGGGAGGATGACCCAGCAAGACTGGATCTTGTCTTCACCCTGAGCAGTTCAGACATCGAGGACATCACGTATGAGAGGCCCCTTGGAGCTAGCGATCACATGGTTCTGAGTTTTGATTATATAGTAGAGTTACAAGTGGAGAAGGTAACAGGAATTGAATGGGAAAAGCCAAACTATAAAAGGGGGGACTACACAGGTATGAGGAACTTCCTGCAGAAGGTTCAGTGGGACAGAGAACTGGTAGGAAAATCAGTAAACGAGATGATGGAATATGTAACAACAAAGTGCAAGGAGGCAGAGGAAAGGTTTGTTCCCAAGGGAAATAAAAGTAATAGGAAGACCAAAGCGAGTCCTTGGTTTACCCGAAGGTGTAGGGAGGCAAAAACTAAGTGCACCAGAGAATGGAAAAGGTACAGGAGACAAAGGACCCAGGAAAATAAGGAGTTTAGTAGAAGAGCCAGAAACGAGTATGCACAGATAAGGAGGGAGTCCCAGCGACAGTATGAAAACGACATAGCATCGAAAGTCAGGTCTGACCCGAAACTGCTGTATAGCTACATTAGGAGGAAGACAACAGTCAAAGACCAGGTGATAAGGCTGAGGAAAGAAGGTGGGGAACTCACAAGAAACGATCAAGAAGTATGTGAGGAGCTCAACATGAGATTTAAGGAAGTATTTACAGTGGAGACAGGAAGGCCTCTGGAGGGACAGAACAGAGGGGGACACCAGCAAGGAATATACCAACAAGTGTTGGATGACATACATACAAATGAGGAGGAGGTGAAGAAGCTGCTAAGGGGCATCGATACCTCAAATGCAATGGGACCGGACAACATCTCCCCTTGGGTCCTTAGAGAGGGAGCAGATATGCTGTGTGTGCCACTTACCACAATCTTCAACACATCCCTGGAAACTGGGCAACTACCTGAGGTATGGAAGACGGCAAATGTAGTTCCCATTTTTAAAAAAGGAGACAGAAAAGAGGCACTAAACTATAGACCTGTGTCGCTGACGTGTATAGTATGCAAAGTTATGGAGAAGATTATCAGGAGGAGAGTGGTGGAGCACCTGGAACGGAACAAGAGTATAAATGCCAACCAGCATGGATTCATGGAAGGCAAATCCTGTGTCACAAGCCTTCTGGAGTTTTATGATAAAGTAACAGAAGTAAGACATGAGAGAGAAGGGTGGGTTGATTGCATCTTCTTGGACTGCAAGAAGGCCTTTGACACAGTTCCTCACAAGAGATTAGTGCAGAAGCTAGAGGATCAGGCGCATATAACAGGAAGGGAACTGCAATGGATCAGAGAATACCTGACAGGGAGGCAACAACGAGTCATGGTACGTGATGAGGTTTTCACAGTGGGCACCTGTGACGAGGGGGGGTTCCCCGGGGGGTCAGCCCTAGGGCCAGTGCTATTTTTTGGTATATGGAACGAATGAGGAAGGGTTAGACTCAGAATGCCCCTGTTTGCAGATGATGCAAATTTAAATGAGGAAAATTTAAATCAATGAGGATAGGCAGGACTTCAAAGACACCTGGACAGCGGGACCCCTAGTCCAGCAACTCTTCTCGAATTTAACCCCCCCAAAATGAAAAAGTCATGAAGATGGGGGAAAGGCCGAAACAGCGAGGAGTATAGGCTAGGTGGCCCCAAAGACTGCAAACCTCGCTCAAGGAAAAAGATTTGGGGTGATATAAAAACGAGCATGTCCCCAAAGCCAAAAACCCAGATAATCTCGCAAGGGGGCCCCTGGAAAAACCTAAAACGCGTTCCGATCCTTAGTAAATGTTTCAAGACACTGTACCCCTTGACCCGGCCATACTGGAGTAGCAGCACCTTTTGGAACCCGCACTGATCAAGCACGTCAAGAAATTAGAGAAATTAAAAGGTTTTGCGCAAGGTTTTCCAGAGCAAGGGGGAATGCCCATGAAGGAAGGTTAAGGGAAAACGGCCCGACGACACTGGGGACAGGGGGGTCAGGGGAGACCGATAACAAATACAAAATTTTGCACGGGAAAAGACAAGGTGGACAAAAACAGGATGTTCCAGGGAGGGGAACAAAACAAGAGGTCACAAATTTGGAAGTTGAAGACTGAGATGGGTCAAAGGGATGTTAGGAAGTATTTCTTCAGTCATAGAGCTGCCAGGCAGTGGAATAGCCTAGAAAGTTCCGTAGTGGACGCGGGAACCATACATAGTTTTAAGACGAGGTTTGATAAAGCTCATGGAGCAGGAAGAGAGAGGACCCAGTAGCAACCAGTGAAGAGGCAGGGCCAGAAGCTAAGACTCGACCCCTGCAACCACAAATAGGTGAGTACAAATAGGTGAGTACACATTACTGCTTACAATCGCATTTTCAGCCTCAAGTTGTAAAAGGTCATTTTCAAAACTGAAATTAATAAAAACAATCAGAGGTCTTGAATGTCACAGGAGCGACTGACCAACCTGGCTTTAATAAGCACTGAAAAAGAATTTTCACAGCTGATGTAAAAAGTGAAGTAGTACAAGTGTTTTCTGACAGGAGGAATCATTTGGGGAAAAGAACTTAATAAATTTGGTTGATTTATATTTAAATCGATTAGTGTTTATTTCATGTTTCATCAGTGTTTACATATTCAAAATATCACCATTTCTCATAATAT